CAACACGTCCATGAGGACAGGCCAACACGTCCATGAGGACAGGCCAACACATCATCATGAAGCAGCAGACAGATTTGACCTGTTCAACAACTGAAACCAACATTTAGACTCAGATGGTTGAGTTGTGCCTGATGAGAGTAGAAACAATGACTGACAGGCCCTCAGTGGTTCTTGGACCATACCCGGGTCCACTTCATAAAAAGAACCACTGCAGGAGACTGGATTCAGACAAATATCAACTTCCTCTAGTGCTGTTGCTTCCTTCAGTCAAACATCCATCCATTATCTTTACCCGCTTCTTCCATTTTGGGTCACGGGGGTCACTGGTGCCCATGTCCAGCAATCACTGTGCGAGGGGCGGGGTACACCCTGGACGGGTCGCAAGTCCATCAATCATTCAGCTAAAATCATTCAGCTAAAATCATTCACACTACATTTCCTCTTGTTAAAGGTTTGTAACAGTGAGCCAGATGGTCAGAAGATAAGATGGGGACATTTGTGTTCCTCCTCATTCAGGTGCTCATTCTTTGATTTAAAGTTATTCTTAGCTGAGCAAAGTTCTGCACTTTGAAAGTTTTATTTCTATTAATAAAAACTTGAAATGGATTTGTGAACATTTGTTTGAAGGATTTTAATTCAATCCATCTCTTTATTTTAACCTGCTTCTCCTTTCAGGGTCACTGGAGTCTGTCTCCAGCTGTCTGTTAGAGGTGAAAGACACCTGGATGTGTCCCCAGTCCGCCACAGGGACACACAGAGACAGTGACTAATGAACCCAACATGGCAGTTCTGGTCTCTTGGAGTAAACCCAGAGGGAGAACATGTAAACTCCAGAGGAAAGCTCCATCAGGGAGGTAAACCCAGTGTAGTGGTGCATAGTGCATACCTGTGAACCTTCGTGGCTCTAGCATTAAACTGGTTTTGATCCTATCTTTCAACTGGGAGTTTTTTCTATAAAACTAGGACAGCATTCCTCCTTATGTCTCCTCTGAAATATGGGATACCCCAGGGGTCGATATTAGCACCTGTTCTTTTTGCTTTGTACTTGCTGCCTCTGGGTTTTCGCTTTAAAAAATAAATCACAAAAAGTCTCTTTTCATTGTTTTGCAGATGACATTCAAATCTATCTACCTGTAACTACAAATGACAGCCAGTCTGCTGTACATATCTTACAGGATTGTCTAAGGGATGTACAGGTATGGTTGAGAGCAAACTTTTTGAACCTAAATAAGGAAAAAACTGAAATCCTGGTCTAAAAAAGTTAAATCTGGTCCTCTGGACATTAAAAAAAAAACAAAAAAAAAAACAAAACAAAGCAAAACAAAAAAAAATGTAGAAACGTTTCGTCTCTCATCCAAGAGACTTCCTCAGTCTGAGGTGCTGTATTCAGCTCAGTCTCTTAAATAGCACCGTCTCAGAGTGGATCAACCAGTTTTGCTGCTGACAACCAAAACCAGCTGATCACATGCTCAAATGCTGAAATCCTGGTGTTCGGTCAATGCAATCCTCTGCCTGGGCATGACAGTGTGGTTGGCCCTTTGTCATGCGTTTGTGAAAAATCTGGGTGTGATGGTTGATCCTCTGTTTAAATTTGATAAGCATATTAGTGCTGTTATCACAGCCAGTTTCTTCCAGCTGAGAATCCTTGCAAAGCTAAAACCTTATCTTCCTTGGCCTGATCTAGAAAGGGCTATCCACACATTTACTATATTACGTTTATTGTACTTCTTTGTATTTAGGGTTGAACCAGAGCTCCCTGCAGCGATCGCAGTGTCCAAAATGCTGCAGCTCGTTTATTGACGAACACAAGGAAGCACAAATCTATTACCCCCGTTTTGCACTCCCTTCTCTGGCTCCCTGTTGCTTTTAGGGTGAAATTTAAAGTTTTATTGATTGTTTTTAAGTGTTTAAACTCCATGGGCCCATTTTACTTAAGTGAGCTGTTGCAGCCCTACACTCCATCCAGAGCCCTGAGGTCAGCCGACCAGCTTTTGTTGGCTCTCCTTTAAGCTAGGTTGAAGACTGGAGGTGACGGAGCCTTCTCTGTGGCAGCACCCAGACTGAGGAACAGTCTCCCTCTGTACGTTGAGCTCTCTCTGTCAGTAGATCAGTTTAAATCCAGACTGAAAACACATCAGGCCTTCAAATTCACTTCAACTTCAAATTAATACCTGATTGGTTCAAGTTTTTGGGAAATTGCAGCAACTGATATAAAGTATGTCTTGGTTTTTATTTGTTTTATTATTTTATTGGTATTTTACTGCCAGTTTTTATCGTAGTTTTATTTTTATTAAACTCAATTTTATTTATTTTATCATATTTTTATCTACGATGCTACAATTATTGTGAAGCACTTTGGTCAGCTCAGGTTGTTGTAAATGTGCTATATACAGTGCCTTGCAAAAGTATTCGGTCCCCTTGAACTTTTCAACCTGTTGCCACATTTCAGGCTTCAAACATAAAGATATAAAATTTTAATTTTTTGTGAAGAATCAACAACAAGTGGAACACAATCGTAAAGTGGAATGAAATTTATTGGATGTGTCAAACTTTTTTAACAAATAAAAAACTGAAAAGTGGGGCATGCAATATTATTGGGCTCCTTTAGTTTCAGTGCAGCAAACTCACTCCAGAAGTTCAGTGAGGATCTATGAATGATCCAATGTTGTCCCAAATGACTGATGATGGTAAATAAAATCCACCTGTGTGTAATCAAGTCTCTGTATAAATGCACCTGCTCTGTGATAGTCTCAGGGTTCTGTTCAAAGCGCAGAGAGCATCATGTCCAAGGAACACACCAGGCAGGTCCGAGATACTGTTGTGGAGAAGTTTAAAGTCGGATTTGAATACAAAAAGATTTCCCAAGCTTTAAACATCCCAAGGAGCACTGTGCAAGCAATTATTGAAATGGAAGGAGTATCAGACCACTGCAAATCTACCAAGACCCGGCCGTCCCTCTAAACTTTCATCTTGAACAAGGAGAAGACTGATCAGAGATGCAGCCAAGAGGCCCATGATCACTCTGGATGAACTGCAGAGATCTACAGCTGAGGTGGGAGAGTCTGTCCATAGGACAACAATCAGTCGTACACTGCACAAATCTGGCCTTTATGGAAGAGTGGCGAGAAGAAAGCCATTTCTCAAAGATCTCCATAAAAAGTGTTGTTTAAAGTTTGTCACAAGCACCTGGGAGACACCAAACATGTGGAAGAAGGTGCTCTGGTCACATGAAACCAAAATCAAACTGTTTGGCCACAATGAAAAACGATATGTTTGGAGTAAAAGCAACACAGCTCATCACCCTGAACACACCATCCCCACTGTCAAACATGGTGGTGGCAGCATCATGGTTTGGGCCTGCTTTTCGTCAGCAGGGACAGGGAAGATGGTCAGAATTGATGGGAAGATGGATGGGGCCAAATACAGGACCATTCTGGAAGAAAACCTGTTTGAGTCTGCAAGAGACCTGAGACTGGGACTATCACAATCCTCAGTGTTTAGACCCATTTGCAGGCAGGCGAGCGAGGCAGGAGTTTAAATAAAAACAATTTATTTAAACAACAAAAACAAAACGGCTGACGGGGCAGCAAAACTACAGGCAGGATCCAGGCAGACAACAGGACAGATTCAAACTCAGACAGATACCTGGCACAAGGAACAGAGGAGGACCATGTTGTCTGTGCAGAACAGAACAATGACCGGACGAGGAGAGGAGGAGAGAAAGGCTTTTTATAAGAGAGAGGGAGAGTGAGTAATGAGAGCACATGGGCAGGTGGCTGATGAGGGACAGGTGTGAATGATAAAGACTGAGGAGTGGAGAGGCAGACTGAGGAGTGAGTGGAAAACAACAGAATCAGATATATAGGAACAGAAATCACACAAAGAGCAGAACAACAAAAGTACAAAAAGCAGAGTGGGGAACACAAATAAATATAAAGAAAACAGACAGGGACAGAGCCTGTCATAACCCCCCTCTGAAGGGACGGCTCTTGACGTCCCCTAGAACACAACACAAAAAACACAGAATGGGTGGGAGAATGGGGGAAACAAGGATGGAGGGCACAAAAAGAAAATCTAAACAAAAACCGACAGGGTAGACCTGGGAGCAAAAAGACTCAAAACACAAGCATTTCTATGAACAGCCCTGGGCATCGTTCCTAGCGGGACCAGAGTTCGGGCGGACGGCCCGAGGACCGTCCAGAGCGGGACCAGAGTTCGGGCGGACGGCCCG